TTAAAAAATGAATGTTATGACGTACAACACTTTACATTTAATTTTCTGTTATTAGTTTTATTTAAATTCCAGTCACTTATTACACCAAACAAAATACACATTCAGTGATTGATTAACAATAAAGTGACAAACAATTAAACAATTTATAAAATTTCACACGGAAATGTAAAACTGTGAGAAATATTGTAATTTAAGTAAATAGTTTTTTACAAATGCCTCATAAATTTTAAATAAATAATAATCTTTAAAATGGTGGATGCGCCGGGATAATAATTAATATAATTCAAAATTACGCATTTCTTTTTTTGCTTATTTAATCAAACTATTACCCCTTTCTCGTCTACCAAACCACTTAAAATTCGCCATATTTATTTGTAATTTTTCTATTTATAATAAAAAAATATAAGTGTATATAATGCATAACTAATTCTTCTCTCAATAAGTATTGCTTAAAAATCACATGTAGAGTTTAAAAAAAACGTTGAAAAATTTTCGAAGGTGGTTTCCTAGGTCAAAATAAGAAAAAAAAATGTCCAGAAATGCTTATTGAGAGAGCAAGAGTAAAAAGCCTTTTTTCAATTATCTCAGTAACCGATGAACGCAAATTTATAAAAATTTGCATCTGGAGGAATTTGTTGGTCCTAAATCCATTACTGATATCAAAAATTGTACTCCAATTATGACATGATATAAAATTTTGCTTTGGAACGTTTTTTGGAAATTTTTGAACAGATTCGATTTTAGTGAAGCTATTTTTCTTCAAAAAATGTCTGGTATTATTTCTGTTTTCGAGAAAAACGAGTTTTTTCTTAGCCGTGTATAGACCTTAATTTCAAAAAATAACCCACGCAGTGAGTTTTTTTATATAACTCCTTTAGGAAACATTTACGAACATGGGTCCATAGGAAGTTTTTTTTTCCTTTGATCTAAGAAATCCTCAAAATCTTTCATCCTTTTTTCCGGACAACTGTGTATGTGGAATTAAATCAATTCTATGGATTTGCTAAAACGATTTTAAACGTTATTTTGTAATAAAAAATCTAATTTCCTTGAATAAATTTCAAAACCAAATCAACGTAACTAAACTAACATGTAAATTAATACTAAAACTAAATCTTAACTATCAACTCCGCAATTTCCCATACGTTTCCAGTCGGCCAATTATCGTTCGCGGTCAGTTTCTCCCACTAATCAAACTTTACCAACTATACAGACGTGAGGTAATATTACTTTACTTACTTATTATATTTATAATCCCAACCACACAATAATTAAACTAATTAATCCACACAATGTATCAAATGCAAAACACAATTTTCACATTTGGTATTTTATCGATTCATGTCTCCAACTATTACAGCCACAATCCCAATTCCAAAGCTAGTTCCTCCATGTTCGCATATTTTAGAAACAATTCAATTTCTGTTCGTGAGTGGAAATGCTGTAACATTCAGCTATGTCTCATAAAAGCAGCCAAATAAACCAAATTTAATTCTTTCGTAATACCTATCTCTAATTTAAAAACAACAGTTCTATCGGACATAACATTCCCTTTATTTGTTTTGGTTCATTCCAATCTCTTTGATTTTCGATGTCTAATTTTCCTTTCACTACTGACAATCAAAGTTAATTAACAATTGGTACAAAATAGTTTTTTCTCGTGTTTTCACATCAAAAACTACCAAGGTATGTCAATGCCATTTTTCACAAAACCGAAACTGCCCTCAATCTACAACACGCCACTCTTGCTTACCATCAAATAAAATTGATTACGATGAGAAATAAATGATGCCTCCTGCCAATTCACGATACACCTCATTATTAAAAATAAAAATATATCGTGATTGGCCCCACTATAATTTTATGAAAAAATACAATGATGCAATAAAAAATGAAAAAATCAAAGCAAATTCCAAATTTGTAAGGCAAAATATCTGAAACCTAAAACAAATAGAGGTATTCCCCAGATATCGCCTCAAGATTTTAATAATTTTTTCTCTAAAATTTCGGAAGACACTAAAAATTCTCTCCCACCAATACTACCAATACTATCAAAAATTTTTGAAAAATTATTGTTGCGGCAAATTGTCAATTTTTTAATCTACTTTCATCCCAAAAATTTGGCTTTCGCAAAGGTTTGTCAACTTCAGATGCAGTTATGTCCTTAGTACAAAATATTATTCTATGCTTTGAAGAGAAGGGTGTATACAAGGTGATTCTTTTAGGGCTTTTATTAGAAACTTCTAATGCAGATAGGAATTTGAAATTTTGTACACAACTCAAATCGACCAGTCTAAGTTCAATTAAATTATTTTCAAAATGGCTGAACTTCCGGAAATACGAGAAATTGGCGCCAACTTTGAGTGGTTAACGGAGTACCTCAAGGTTCAATCTTAGGGCCAATACTTTTCCTTTTATATACAGAGTGGTCCAAAAGTCTGGAAACGATGTTATTCTGGCGTAACTATCAAATTTTTTGACAAATAAATTTATAGGTGTGCGTGCAATGGCTATAAAAATGCAAAAAATTTTTGAATATTAATTAATTGTTTATACTTACGAGATAAACATAGTAACTTTTTTTAATGAAAACCTACGACAATTTTTTTTAGACAACGAATTGTTGCTGTGCATTTTTTTTATGTTAACCTCACACTTTTTTGTTAAAAAAATGTTTGACTTACAAGAATTCAAGAATTTGTTTGGAGTAAACTACCAGTTTTTTTTGGAAATAAATTAATATAAATGTTTAAAGGTTGTAAAGGAGCGATGCCAAAATTTTTTTTATTTTTATTAATTGTTTAAATTATCTTTCTTATTTTATAGTCGAGACCGATACAACTTTATATGCAGACGACACTACTATTGGGGTGACTGGAGCAACAAATGAAATTGCTAATAGGAAACAACAAAAATCTATGGACTTAGCTGAAAAATGGTTTCTCAGTAATAAACGAACATTAAATAAAGAAAAATCTGTCACAATGCAATTTTCCCTAAAAATTTGTATAGATGCAGAATTAACGTGGAATCAACATGGCGAGCCAAAATACAGGGTGCGCCAGAACTCGCGCCCCAGAGAAAAATGCCATATAAAGTAAGATACCAGGAACATGGAAAAAATGTTTAAAAAATTTGATATTTGATATTTGACATTTTTTTATGTATATTTAATGATACTGATAATGTTGTATATACTTCTTTACAATTATTTAGTAAAAGTACAAACATTTTGTCAATAAAAATCACAAATAACATTAAACAGAATTACAACTTAGGATACAGCTTCCTTGTTTCCTCTTTTAATAGCCTATAGCAAAAAAACTTAGAAAACTATTTTTCCAACACAAATAAATAGAGTCAAACAAATTTAAACCCACATAACTTCGAAATTTTCATAGATAAACATTTTTTCCATCTTCCTGGTATCTTACTTTATATGACATTTTTTTCTGGGGCGCGAGTTCTGACGCACCCTGTAGGTAAAGCAATTTATCTACTTCGAAATTTGACTAATAATCTATCCTACTTTGCTCTTATAAATTCACACCTTGAATATGGTATTCTTATATGGGGTCACAGTTCAGCAATTACGAGACTTTTTGAACTCCAACAAAAAGTATTAGGATTATTTCTTCACTAGGACGTCGTGACGATTGCAGAAATAATTTTAGTAATTAAAAAATTCTTACGTTATCTTCTGTATACAGGGTGATGAAAAAAAGGCGCCCACGATTGAAACAGGCGCGTCCTTTTTTATTGAAACATTGTGACCATCATTCCAAAAATAGTCTAAATAGATTCTTTTTAAAATCTAAACAGTTTGTCTAACAGCACAAAGCGGCAATATTGCACAAATTTCTTTTACTAAAAAACTATTTCACTCAGGTATTTTTCGTATCTAGGAAACCTTTTTGACTTTAATCGTTCAAATTTCACAGAACAAACAACATTGAAAATAGATTTTTTTGTTGTTACCGTTTCCAGTAATTGAATATTACTTGGACATTTTCTGTATCCTAGGATATTTGCAATGTTGCAACATTCTTTGGAGCCAAGAAATGGTATCCTAACATCTTCAATAAAGTTTATTTCAATAGACTTTTTACAAAGAACACCGTCAACAGTAGCAAAATCTAGACTTTAACAATGAAATTATTTTAAAACTCTTAATTATATAGATTTCTCTTTTCTAAAAAGAAAAGTCTATATTTTACTGATAAGAGCACAAATCCAATTTTGGTCTTCGGATTCGTCTTTAATAAAAGATCACTTATAACGTGTGGGTGGCGCCTTTTTTTCATCCTACTGTATATTGAAATGCTTGCAGTTTATAATAAACAATAAAATTCATTACCATAATTTCATAATTACGGCACCAGAAGCCACATAATATCATTCGAAAAAATAAGACTATCTAAATACCAAAATTTTTACAACTATTATTGTATAAAGTTCTTCAATGTTCTCCCAAAAGATTTTAAATGTCTTCCCCTTAAAGTTCTACTGAATAAATTAAAGACCTATCTAACTTAAAAAAGTTTCTATAGTATTGAGGAATATCTGAACAATAACTTTAGTGATATCTAATTGGAATTTAATTTATTTATGTTTCTAACTCATGTTCATAGGATCATAGGAATTATCTTTATTATTTAAGTTTAAGTTTGTATGGATAATAAGTTTGACATGTGTAAAAGTACGTTGTATTTATAGCACGAATAAATTATTATTGTTATTATAAATAATTGACGTTTTTCATAAATAGTTCCATTTTATAATGGTGACAATTGTGTGCAAAATAATCATTTTAATTTATTCATGGTTGGTAATTATGCATAACATGACAAGAAACCCGTATGCTTTGAAACACGGTGAAGCGGAAAATTAATAAATTAAATTAAAATTTTCTCGTAAAAAAGAGCACACGAGAGAAACCATGTGGTGTACTATAATGAAATTGAGTCGTGTTTAAACGGCGTAGTCTCAACCACACTTACCATTATTTCATATTTTAAATAAATCCCATACGCAGAACCGATAAATGAATGTAAAATGTCCGCAAACGTCGTGAAAAACCATCCGTACACGCGGAAATCAAGACGGCCGGGTTAACAACAATCTCGAATCGGGCACACCTCCTTAGAAATGTGTGCATGTTGCTATCCCAAGGCCTCTAGATCGGGGTGTGAGAGCGAACAAGCGGCACAGTACATTGCTATAGCACAGTAGGCACACACAGTGTTTTTTTTTCCGACGCTCGATTTTCTCGTCCAGAGGCTCCTACGACCGTCCGCACTCCATGCCGTCGGTATATTGATCACTTTCCCACTATTTCACCTGTGCAATCTCTCTGGCCGAGCGTTTTAGGGAAACTTGTGCTTGCCAGGCCGCGGAAATGGCAACAATGAAGTCCCGATTTCCCCCACCGCTTTCTAAGCTAGCTTGGGGCTGCCTAGGCGACCGCGCACGCCAAAGACTCGCTTATTGTGTTATAAAAAATTAACGCGAGAGAGTCGAGCACCTATGATTCATTTTTCATCCTTTGCCAACTGACGTTTGTGCGACTTTTTTTCAAAGTTTAAGTTATTTATGAGTCGTGAGAGAGTTGCAGGAAAGCTTAAGAAAATCGAAAAGGCGATGTGAGGAGGAGGTGGAAATAAATATTCCACCTTGCACAAAGCACAGTTGACACTAAATAAAAAACCACCGAAAGGAGAAATACATTTCTTGGTTAAAAACCAACAAAATTTGTACATATTTCTAGAACAACTTGTATATTTATTCTAAACTAATTCTAATACACCTTAAAGTAATTATTAAAAGCCTTAGAAATTGTGTCAAAAATCCTGTCAATGTCTGTTCCAAATTGCTAAATTTACTATTAGTAGCTTTGCAAAAAATTCATTTCCTAAAAAAATAAAAAGATCACCTAAACAAAATTTAAATTTAAATTGGTTTAACAAATTAAAACTTCATAAGTAGCCTTTTTATAAAAAAAACTAGAATTAAAGATATTTTCAGAAGATGTTGTATATTGATTAATTGAACTAAATACTTTTAATAGTAGACAGATTGACCAACTTTAAAATACATTTATTAAAAAAGTGCTATACAAAAAAACTTCACCCTTTAAAACAATGATTTTTACAACATTTGTTACCAAATTTTCGAAAAAAATCAGCAAATTTCTTGTATTTTCCAAAAAATTAATACAATACAAAAATACCATCTCTTATGTGACAGTGCTTATTATTTTATTATCTTTTACATCATCATAAACTAACAGGCATGAGAACAACAAAATAGTAACAAAAATAAAATACAAAATCTACTAGAAAGTTAGAATGAATTTAACATTCATAATAACAATAATTAAAAAAATCTAGCACTCTACAAATTACACACTTTAAATAAATAGTTTAGAGGAGAATGTAACAAATTATTGTTTTTACACTGTTTAATAGAAAACAGTATAGTATTTCTATTATAGAATTAAGGTACATACATGAAAACTGATTAGATCTAAAAATTCGAGACAATCAGTTAAGTTACTTAGAATCTTGTACATAAAACACAATGAAAAATACAGGCTGCGCCAGAACTCGCGCCTCAGAGAAAAATGCCATATAAGGTAAGATCTCAGAAACATAGAAAAAATGTTAAAAAAATTTTATCTATAAAAATTTAGGAGCTATGAGGTTTAAATTTTGCATTTTGACTCTATTTATTACTGGTGGGGAAAATTTTCCAAGTTGTTTTATTGTAAAAAAACATATACAAGATCATCAGTATCACTAAATACACATAAAAAAATGTCAAATGTCAGAAAATAAATGTCAAAATTATGTGACAGCTAGAATTTTTTAAACGTTTTATCCGTGTTCCTGGTATCTTACCTTACTTGAAAATTTTCTCTAGGGCGCGAGTTCTGGCGCATCCTTTATTTACTCATGCTATTCTCTCAAATGTTATTATACCAAGGAAAAACAAAGTAAGACCATAATTGTTACTTTTGTTTTGTGGAAGCAAGTTCCTTATATATGTAGTATCTATTCCAAGTTAGTGTAAAAATTTGATTTCTGCGAAAAAAAAAAACACTACTATCAATAATCTTTGTTCCAAGTTTCTATGACACCTTCCTGCTACTTTTATAGTAAGTTTAAAAAAAAATTGTGTACTTTAAAGTAGAAAATAGTTATTTATTCGACGAGTTTGGGTGTAAATCGGACGCTTTATTTCACCGAGAGGATTTTTAAGCCACGAGTGTTAACGAGTGGTTTATCATCCACAAGCTGGAATAAATGAACCGATTTACACAAAGACAAGTTGAATAAAACATTTTATTTTTCGAATTAGACTCAACAATGCTTAAAATTGCTTTAAATCTGTTAAAAATAATCTGACGTTTCGTACTGAGGAATGCCAAACAGTTGTCAAAACTTCCTTACATAGGGAAAAAACTGTAAATTCTGACAGTGTCGAAGAATAAAATATAAAAAAAATAAATGACTTCAAAAATTGGAATAAACCGAAATAACATAAATAAAACCCTAAACCTCAAACACATAATATTACGTACTTATACAGACACCCCAGTTAAAGTTATTTGGTTTAAATTTTTGTTAATATTTATTCCAAATTAATGTAAAACATCAAACTAAGTTAAAAAAAAAAACACCAAAACAAAATCTAAGTTTCAGAGAATATCAACTCAAACTCAGCCTTAAAGTGTGAAACAAAAGTAGATATCTGTTTCAATTTTTTTCCTTCAAAAAATTAATGATTTAATTCAAAAAAAAGTCATGTTTAAAACATTAATCAAATAGTGCTTCCCAGAACAATAGTTTTGCTAGTATCTGTTCCAAATTGCCGTGAAAATGTGATTTTATTTGCCTCAGTTCCAGATTTCTGTATGGTCTTCTAGTTAATTTAAAAATTGAATTATAACCTTAGAAAAATATATTTTTCAAAACAAAAAATAAGTTTTCCACCCTAATTTCAGAAAGAAAAGTGGCCATATACCTCCCCGAGAGGTGAAATTTTTACCTCTCTTTAAATCTTTGCCTCTTCCAAAAAAATGAAAAAAACATGATGCTCGATTTAATGGCGATACAGAAAAATCAGAAAAAATTGTTTGTTTTAAAGTTTCTCTTGCTGGGTAGTAAAAAATGATATGTACTACACTGAAAGAAAATGTCTTTTCCTGCCTTCTGCCTGTGGGAGAAAAAGACACACTTTTCTCCCTTGTAATACAAACAACTATTATTTATTATATATTTGCAAAACGTTATTATCTAACCACTAGATTCCCATTGAAAATGAGTCTCTACGAACTACCTGTACTCATAATATTATTCTTTATAAATTTTCCAAGTCTATAGCGTTTTGTCTTTTTAAAATACTCGTATTACAATGCGGTTTAGAAGTTTTATTTAAGACCAAATCAAAGTAGAAGAAACTTGGGGAAATAATTTAATAAGTTCAAAATTAAATAAATAAGTGAATGTCATATAAATGTGACCCAATTATAAAAAATGAAACTTAATTTTATAATTAAAATAATAACAAAAAATGGGAACATTAATGACAGATCATTTAACACAAAACTTGTTTAACTTTTCAAATTTTTATAAAGAGTTATTCCTTAAGTGCCGATTTTATTAAATTCATTTCTGATTTTTTAAAACCACGTGCAAAATAAATTTCCGCTCGATAAATTATAGGCTTTTCTCCCCTACATCGAAGGTAGAAATTCGACTTTGACGCGGGTTCTTAATACACTCTGGAGACAGATTAAAGCCAACAAAATAACGAATTGCAAACCTATTTACACGTCGTAAAGGAAAAAAAACTGCCAATTTTATCATAGAACTCCTTGATTGAATGTAAATATACCGAGAAAGTGTTATTTACAACGCGACACTTGAAACTGTTCCATTTGATAAAAAAGACTAAAAGTTGATTTCAACGAAAAGGTGCAAAGTTTGATTAACGATTTTGCTTTTTTCCGTTGTATTTCAGTAAAGTTCGTACATAGTTTGACCCAGAATAACGTGTTTACGTACACCTAGGTTGTAAATTATCCTTATGTGAAATATTGGACCCCAAGGGGATTTGGCGCGACGCTTATCAAGCTTAAAAATTTATACTGCCAGAAAAGAGAGGCGAATCAAACATTCTCCACATTTTTGACTGTTTTTTTTTTTATACACGTCACAGAATAGACACCTTAATTAAACTGAACTATCTTTTCCCCAATAATTGCCTTCCTGTGTCAAGGAGTAAATCTCCACGAGGATGAGACGCAAAAAATTGGTCCCGTGTGTTTTAGAACAGGCCGTTTTTTATTACCCTCCGATTTGTGACCCATAAATCTGTTATTTATAACCAAATGAAACACTAGTAAAAGGGTTGCATGATTACCAAACCTCCGAGAACCATTAGTGGTTGTTTGACTTTTGATAATTATCGAGAAGCCAGATTAAATCAATGAATTATTCGTTCGTTATTACGAGTGTTGAAAGTTTTGTATTTGATCTTAATTAGATTTTCAAAGTTGAACTTGTAATTGAAATAATTAATTTACAGCATTGATTGTTCTTTGTTTTTATTTTCAAGTGAAATATTTAGATTTTTTTTATCTAATATTAGTAAAATCGCCAAAACTGACATTATACAGGGTGCGCCAGTAAGGTAAGATACCAGGAACACGGAAAAAATGAAAAAAATCTATCAAAAAATTTTGACATTTATTTTTTGACACTTGACATGTTTTTATATCTTTTTAATGATACTGATGACCTTGTATATGTTTTTTTACAATTATTTAGTAAAACTACAAAAATTTCGTTAATAAAAGCCACAAATAACATTGAACAGAGTTACAATTCAGGATACAGCTTCCCTGTTTCCTCTTTTAATAGCCTACAGCATAAAAACTTGGAAAATTATTTTTTCCAACAGAAATAAATAGAGTCAAAGTGCAGAATTTAAACCCTTTTTTTATAGATAAAATTTTTTTAACATTTTTTCCATGTTCCTGGTATCTTACCTTATATGACATTTTTCTCTGGGAAGTGAGTTCTGGCGCCCACCCTGTATATTTACAATAAATGAAACAAATATTATAGTTTTTCTTCTCTTCATTTGGTAAAGAAAAAATTGGAGCCTTCCATTTCAAACAAATAAGTCATTTGAAGTTCCCTAAACCTAACCTCAATTTTGAGGGTTTGTTAATTATTTTTCCCATAGCGAATACACCACAAAAAAAATCAATGTGATTTCAAAATAATTGAAAATGGTTGAGTTACCGATTTTTAGAAAAAAAATCTACAAAATTTCAAAAACGTGATAAAAACATATAGGTTTCTATTTTTAA